AACCTTCCTTCCGAGGAGTGGCTGGTGGGTTTGAACTGCCAGCCTTCTGGTTAGCAGTCAAGTGCCTTAGCCACTATGCTACCAGAGCTCCTATACATGACTAGCACTTAATTTTTTTCTAAGTATTTTAAATGACAAACTTTGAGAACATCTTAAATTATCCCTCAGGTAGTGACAACCACTTAGCACGTTGATTGTTCTAAATGTTTTAATATGACTTACTTGCAATTTCACAAAAAGTATAAAACTATTTGAAGACTTAGGACTGTTCCTTAAATTTCTCTGAGTCTTTACATCTCTGCCCCAGTAGGGCCTAGAATGGTGCATGGTTCTGGGCACTGGTTAACATATGTAAATAATGTTTTTAATTAACAAAATACTTGGTTACTTCTTTTAAATAAAAATAGATTTTTATAGGTTACATGATATTTTTATCATATTTCTTGTTTTATCATGTACGATATATTCAGAAGAAGAAATAAAATATATTTCCCACTGAGATCAGAAAGAAGTGGAAGGGTATACTTGCCTAAGTACAATAGATAAGTATAATAACACGTCCATAACAGCATTGCGTGGCACTAGTAGAAAACAGGAAATCAAAATGTTAAATCAAAAAATAAACCCACTGCCATCAAGTCCATTCCAACTCATAGTGACCCTTTTGGACAGTGTAGAACTGCCCCCTGCAGACTGCCTCAACTTTCTCTCAAGGAGCAGCTGGTGAGTGTGAACTGTTGACCTTTTGGTTAGCAGTCAAATGATTAAACTACTGTGCCACCAGAGCTCCTCAAATCAAAATGAGGACTGGTTAAGTAAGTCATGACATACCCATGCAATGTAATTTTATGCAGAATGAGATCTGAATATTCTGATAATTGGAGATCTCCAGGGTAGAAGAAGAAAAAAGCAAAGTACAAAATATCTATTTCTGGTAATAGTACCTCACATCAGATGAAGCCATTAACATATAATAGCTGTAAACTCTGGACAAATATAAAAAACTACCTGAAGGCAATAGAGAGCAACCAAAAGCAGACAGAAAATAAAATAATTGACACTTAGAAGAGTGGGATTGCACTACATGAGTTGTCACTTTTTATGGTCTGGCTGCGGACAATTTCAAGCAGGACAGCTAAACGTGTATGGTAGAAGCCCAGTCTTACTGACTCAGAGAACCAGAGACTAGAGATCTAGATGATCACAGCAGCTAAAAAGTGGTCATAGTGGGGATTAAAGAAAGCAGAGAACTACTAACTAGGTTGGTAAGTGAACTCTGATCAAATCTGGCTCCAAGCAGCCGAAGATAGGGGTTTTTTTTAAAATTTATTTATTTATTTTAAATAAAAACAGATTTTGATGCTTGCCACCTAGAGAGACAGCTTATAATTCCAAATAAGTTAGCTGCCTGTTAAAACAACAAAATCAGCATTATTGAGGGGAATGTACAGAATCCAGAGGCTGTGCCATGTAACATTCACAATGTTGAAGATATAATCCAAAATTGCTAAACAAGTGAAGAAACAGAAAAATGTGACCCATACACAAGAGAAAAGGCAATCGGGAGATTGATCCAAAGAAGACTCCAATATGAGAATTAGCAGAAAAGGATTTTACGGCAGTGTAATTGCTCAAGACATAAAAGAAAATACGATTCTAATGAATGAACAAAATGAAATCTCAACAGAAAAATTAAAAACTTTTGTACAGAACCAAATGTAGATTTTAAAAGTGAAAAGTGTAATACCTAAAATATTCATTGGATTGGCTAATGACATGTTGAAAATGACAGAAAGGTCGGTGACCTTGGAAGATAGCTCATTGAAAGTTATTCGATCTGAAAAACAAGAAAAAAAAAAAAAACAAAGGAGTAGAGCCTCAGCAACCTGTCCAATATCTATAGGTCTATACTAGGAGAAGAGAAAAGGCAGAAAATATATTTGAAGAAATAATGGCCAAAAGTTCCAAATTTGATGAACAAATTTACAAATGAGATATGCTCACCTAATCTGAAGCAGAGTAAATACAAATAAAACTACGTCTAAGCACATCAAAGTGAAAAAACAAAGATGAGGAAAAAAATATTCAAAGTAGCCAGAGGAAAACGACTCATACAGAGAAACGATAGCATTTGCAACTGGGTTCTTAATTGGAACTAATGGAGGTCAGACAGTAGAGTGGCATTTTAAAGTACTGAAAGAAAAGTGCTCTTAAACCAGAATTCTTAATAACAATGGAGGAGTGAAATTACATTTTCAAACAAACAAATTAAATTTATTGTCAAACTGACCTTTACAGCAAAAGAAAGTTCTTCAGGCTGAAGAGAAATCATGCTAGTGATGGAAACTATATGGATAAATGTGAAAGACTATTTTTCCTTTCTTAATATCCTTAGCAACCACAACAGGAAGTTTAGCACTTTCTTGAGTTCTATGAATCTTCCATCGAATGATCAGATCTGAAGGAGTAGGTGTAACCCAGCTGGTCAGAAGTGAGGAGGGCCTGGACACCCAAGTTTGTTTAACATCCTGAGAGGAGAAGAGGACCACTGCCAACTTTGTAGTCAGCAAGTCAGAAGCGGTGGAGACCTCAGGATCACAAAATTTGTGGCTAGTGTCCAAAGCCTTGGGCACACTTACAGTCTGAAGGAATGTGCTCTTTAACTTGTGAGGTCTGACCTAGCTCAGTAGTTAGAGTCAGAAGGAAAAATAGTGCATCTGCAGTTAGGAATAAAATTAGAGTAGAATTGAATAGGAATTGAATTTCTTTAATTGGTGTCAGAGAAGTGAGATTTTATTTCTGTTGGTGTGAGAAGTAGAAGAGATTATTGCACTGATTGGCGAATAGATTAAAACAAACTGATGCATCCATACAGTGGAATACTACTACTGAGGAGCAGAAAGAAAAGAACTACCAATGTATGCAATAATGAAGAAATGCACTGTACTGAGTGAAGGAAACGAGATTTCAAAGGGCTGCATGATAGTTTCCATTTATTTGACATTCTGGAAAAGGCAAAGCTATGGAGATAAGTAGTATCAGTGGGTAGTGGGGTTTGGAGTGGGGTTGAATACAGGGGAACTTTTAGGATAATGGAACCGTTTTATATCTTGATTGTGGTGGTAGTCAACACCACTGTATTCTTTTGTTAAAATTCACTGTACTGTAAAAGGAATGCATTTTACTCTGGGGGGAAAAACAAAAATTTTAAAGAAAAAACGAAAAACAAGGGAAAATAAAAAGAAAAAAAAAAAAAAAAAAAAACATTTCAATAGATGCAGATAAATCATTTGACAACCATTCACAATAATCAACAACTAGAAATAGAGGGGAATTACCTTCATCTGATCAAGAGCCTCAGAAAAATCTACAAGCATACTTTACACCCAGTGTATTGGGAACCTGGCATAGATATTCTCACCACTTTTCAATCAACATTTTCCTGGAAGTCCTAACTAGGCATAGCTTCATGGATTGAGTTTTAGTTTCTTGGATTTAAAAGGAGAGGGGGTGGTGTAGGAAGAGAAGATATGGGATCTTTCAGGGGTATTGTGAGGGTTCAGTGAAATGCTTAAGTAAAGGAATAGGAATATGGTAGTTTTCATTTGTTTAGATGTTACATTGAGCCAGGATGGCTGTTTCCCTTAAACTAGATCAGAGGAATTCCTGTTCTGCAAAGCACAGGAAGAAAATTTGATGAGCTTTCATTTGGATAACTGCCAAGTATTCCTTCTCATTACAAAAATAATAGATAATATTCAATTACTTATAATAAAGATGCATTTCTGAAAACAAAATCTCAGCTCTTGTACTTTCTTAAGCAATATTTTATCACTGTGATTTTAGTGAGAATAATTGTAGATGTGCTGGCCAAACTATTTGATTATAAAAACTGGTTGCATTTGCTGGCACGTAGACAGATACTGCTTTAAAATGCTAAGTTCTTCAAAATTTTCTTACGATAGGATATATTGATTTGTCGAAAAGAAGAGTTTCTCCAGAGGAAGCCATCAAATGTGAAGACAAATTCACAAAATCCAAAACTGTAAGTTGGTTTTTACCAAGTCAAAGTAGGTTACTATCTGATCTGTGAAATAATCAGCATGTGTCTTTCCTCACCAAAACATAAAATCAACAAAAACAACTGCATTTTCTGTAACTTTTAGAAGTATTTCCAGTTACATGCTAGATGGGAAAATAATTTTGAAGATTCACTTTCAAAGGAGTACTACAATGTTTATATCTCATGGTGCTACTACTGTAAAGCTTATGATTTAGAATTCTCTTTATCTAAAGTGAGGGGAAAATGTTGGCTTCTCAAAGCAATACTGAAAGTTAGTGGGTTTTGTTTTGTGATAAAATATCTGCCATTTCAGCTATTTTGACTTAACACGATTCAGTGACATTAATTACATTCACCATGTTGCTGTCATAGCTATTTGTTTCCAAAGTTTTCTTTGCCTTTCGCAGAAACTCAGTATCCTTTTGGCAATTACTCTCCATTTCCCCTTCCCATTCATCCCTAGTTAATCTCTAATAATGACAGTTAGTGTTTTAAGCCATTTTAGGTTACATTAATTGTAGATGACTTCATTGGATTTGGTGTATGTCTGAATGGGATGTCATACGTTTAGTTTTTGACTTTCAACCCTGTTCTGGGATAAGGGCCATAAAGACAACTGGCTGTTATCTGTTAAGAATGAGCAGCTATTGAACGAGGATTTGTTTTTTATTGTTGTTGTTGTGATTTGGGTGAAAGTTTACAGAGCAGATTTGTTTTCCATTCGACAGTTCATATACGTTTTGTTTTGTGGCATTGATTGCAATCACCACAATATAAAAACTCTTACCACTTCCTCCTTGTGGTTACCTTTTCCCTTTGTCCTTCTTTCTAGTGTATTCCTGCCTTCTGAGCTTTTTCCCTGCAAAGTCTACCCTTCTGATTTCTCATGGTTGATTGTTTTATGGAATGCATCTCCAGGTGTAGTTGTTGAGTTTTGTCAGCCTGTCTGTTGTTTGGCTGAAAATTAAGTGATGGTATAGAGTTCAGCTCCAGGCCTGAAGGGTGACTAGGAGCCATAGTCTCAGGGGTTTCACCAGTCTCTGTCAGGCAGTAAGCTTGGTCTTTTTTAGTATTTTGAGTTTTGTTCCACATTTTTTTCTCACTCTATCCGGGATCTCTAATTTTGATCCCTTTGTGAGTGGTTGGCAATGGTTAGCTGGGCACCATCTAGTTTTAAGTGTCCTGTAGGCAGAGGTTCCCATGGTCCACTAGTCCCTTGGACTAATGGTTTCCATGCATCTTTGATTTTCTTCACTCTTCTTGGTTATAGATGAAGAAAGACTAATAGTTGCATCTTAGCTGGCTGCTTATAAGCTTTTAAGACCCCAGTCACTACTCACCAATATAGGATATAGAACAATGTTTTTGTGTACTTTGTGCATTGAGCTTGATGTCTCCCTCAGCCATGGTCCCAAGCCCAAAGGCCCACTGACTCACTCCCTCGGTGTTTGGTTGTGGCTAAGAAGTTATCATAACTTTGCCTCTTGTTAACTCTATTATATATATGGACATTCTTTTAGCACATACAAATACATATGTAGAAATACCATCTGCCAGACCTATAGATAGTCATGAGTATATTCCCATTGTTGTTGTTAAGTGCCATGGAGTCGGACCTGACTCATAGCAACCCCTCCTTGGGTTTCCAAGGCAGTATCACTACGGAAGTAGATTGCCCCATCTTCCTTCCAAGGAGTGGCTGCTGGGTTTGAACTGCCAGCCTCCTGGTTAGCAGTCAAGTACGCTTAGGCACTATGCTACCAGAGCTCCTATTAGCCTACTCATAACTGATCATCTTGCCTGTCTACCTGCATATCTAACCATAGATTACTGTTACTGATAATGTGGTATTATGTACGTAACAATAATTACCTTTGTTATCTGTACCTCTTGTGCACCTCTCCATTTCTTCCTTTTCCTTACCTAGCTAGGATTTTTCCCTGCTCTCCCCTCCCATCCCTGGTAACCAACAAAGAAAGTTTCCTTCATGTATAAACCTTTCTTTAACTTTTTACAATAATGGACTCATACATTATTTGTCCTTCTGTGACTTGACTTATTTCACTCAGCATAATGTCCTCTAAATTCATGCACATTATGAGATGTTTCGTGGGTTCTTCATTATTCTTCATTGTTGCAGAGTATTGCATTCTATGTACTATAGTTTGGTTATCCATTCATCTATTTATGGGTACTTACATTGTTTCCATCTCTTTGCTATTGTGAATTGTGCTGTGATGAACATGGGTATACATCTGTCTCTTAGTGTTCCAGCTCACATGTCTTTAAGATATATACCTAATAGTGGGATTTCTACTTCCACCTTTTTAAGGAGGTGCCATACCATTTTCCATGGTGTTTGTGCCATTTTACAGGCCACCAGCAGTATATGAGTAAGAAGTCTTTTGGTACTCAGAAGAGTTTAATTTTTAGAAGGGCCCAGTCATCTAGTTTCTCTTCTGCTGTTTGTGCATTTTAGGTTATGCTTGATAGTCTATTTATGCCATAAATTGAACACCTAAGTTGGTGCCTACGTTTTCTTTGATGACAGTTTTAGGTTTCACATTTAGGTCTTAGATCCATCTTGAGTTAATTTTTGTGTGTGGTGTGAGGTTTGGATGTTGTTTCACATTTCTGCAAATGAATATCCACTTTGCCAGCATTGTATGTTAAATATACTATCTCTTCCCCCATTTAATGGTTTTTAGCCCTTTGTCAAAGATCAGCTGTCCATAGGAGGATGGATCTATTTCTGGATTCTCAATTCTGTTCCACTGGTCTTTGTGTCTGTCATACCAATACCAGGCTGTTTAGACTACCATGCCTGTATAGTATGTTTTGAGATCAAGGAGTGTGAGTTTTCTGTTCATGATGTTTGATCTATATTTGATCCATACAAGAGCTTTCTACTGTAAGAAGGAAAGATGCTAGGACCTTCATTTTCCAGATGAAGAAACAAGTTCAGAAAGGTTAATTTGTCCCAAAATCAAGATAGGACCCAAGTTTTAGGACTCTGAATTGAATACACTATTTCTGTATGTTAAATCCACATGAGTTATTATAGGAAAGCAAATATTTCTCTGTGGACAAAGAACTTACATGGTGATCTTTCATTGTTAAGGAATTATAGTGAAATCAACCAAAGGCTTGTTTTTATGTGCTTTCTACTAAAATGTAAAAATACTTATTTTTATATATCTCTTATCTTTGATAGTTCTATGACCTGAACCACAAGAATATAGTGACTTTTTTATTAAAAGCTGAAATGTGACTTTTCTTGTGGTTAATTGGTTCAGATGCAGGGTTTGTTGTTGTTGTTAAGTGCCGTCGAGTCGTTTCCGACTCATAGCGACCCCATGCACAGCAGAACGAAACACTGCCCAATCCCGT